CCTGGGTATGATAGCTAGCTATCAAATTATGGTCAGAGCTGATTGGCTTTGCAGAGCAGCCCTCTGGAATTTCCACCTGCTATAGAACTTTGGAGAATGGTCTAGAAGCAATGGGTGGATCTGAGGAGTAGCTGGTCTGTACTCTTTGAGGATCCTGGCCAATCTCCAACAGGAGGCTTGGCAAAGGGACAGGACAACCTTTAAGAGTGACGGAGCCTGCACAGCAGCAGGAGAGTTCAGGTGGAAGAGGAAGATGTGAAGCTGAGGAGCAGGAGCCTGGGAGGGGGCCCAGATGGGAGAGGGGCTCACCTCCAGGCAGAAGGACCTGGGCAGGCTGAAAACGTAGGACTTTACTGGCCCCCTGAGAGAGGACCACCTGTGTGGCAGGGAAGGCCTGGTTGCAGCCACCAACCCAACAGCAACACAGGAGAAGAACTAAGAGAGGGCACCTTCACCCTCTGGACCAGTTAGGAGAAGAAAAGCACTCTAATGGGAAGCTGGATTAACCTGCCACCCAGGACTGTTTCATTATTTATGTGGCAGATATTGGATACCCTGCTCAGGTATTCCTCCAGACAGCTGGGTAAAGAAGAGGATTTATCTGGGATCTGAGGTGGTACTACAGGAGATGCTGGCTAGCTCTCCAGAAGAGACTGGTGGCTGTAACCACTGTACATATAGTTCAGGAAGTTTTCCTCAGTTTCTCAGTTCCCTTGGGCATCCTGTACACCCCTTGCTCTATCCAAGTAGAAATCCCCCAAATAAACATCATAAAACAAGCTCAAGGACTGGTTACTGACTCTTGAGTGCAAGATGTTGTGACGATGCATGTATCCTGACTGTGCAGGACTATAGGGGGACCCAAACCTTCAGGGGTTAGTGCTACATGTACACAAGCACAACAACAGGAAAGAGCTTTAAAAAACTTTGGAGTGGTTTGGAGATATGACTGGATTTCCCTTCTGGGTAGTCCTAAGAATGTTTGTGTTCATTTTTATCTTCTTTGCAAAGTGTTCCAGTAGTCTGAAATCCAGGGGTGCTCTAGAAAGAAAATGAAAGCCAGGTCTTGTTATAGCCTTGTCCATCACCTATGCATTCCTGTTGATCCACAATATCATGGCTAGCCCACTGGCCAATAGAAAGGCAGAGTGTAGAGGAAAACATGGGGATAGGCTGCACAGCAGGAAATCATGCTTTAAGAAGCTAGAATTCTAACTAAGAAGACTAAAAAAGCATGATACATCTATGAACAATTGTCTATAAACAATTACATTGAAGTAAATTAAGTGGACTTTAGCAAAGTTTCAATATTTCCCGGAACTCAGTTTGCTGAGTGATTGTGCATTATACGGGTAGTTGCTTGTGAAGACTATGAACAAATGGAGGTACAAGAGGCAGAATTTTAGGGAAACATATGTTCTAAGGTTAAAAATTCAACTGGCAATAGCTGACACTTGGAAATATGAGCGATATCTCAAAGAGCGTCCTTGGACATGTGCGGATGATTGAAGGAAAAAAGATCAATATCCAATAAATAAGAGAGAATAGCACATTATCTGCCCATTAAAACTCAGGGTGAAAATGTCGAAGATTGCTTTAGAAGCCATATAGTGCTGTCTCTTTAGTAAATCAATCTTATCACATTCTACATTTAGCCTCCACTGATTTTCTGACCATTCATAGATAAAGCTCTCCTCACTCCATTTAATCAACGACCTCTGCTGTTCTGTATGCCAGACTAGCTACTATATGAGCCCCCAGGTTCAACAAATTGTGGGAAGGATGTGCATTTGCTGAAATAAAAGTTTGTCTATTTATACTGTTAAATGAAGATATAATATACAGTATATTGTATAAAATGAGATTTTTCAAGTAACCCAGTATTGTAATTGCTGTCGTCTTTCTAAAAAATACTAGTTGCCTCTCTGTCATGGTGATTCAATGGATCAAATTGGAGTCTCTTAAACTTGTTCCTGCTGACCAGGAACAAGTTTAAATACTCAGAAAGTATTAAAGCAAGATGTCTCTGCCAGAAATCAGGTGTTTTTGGTAGTATTGGCAACCAATATACCGTATTTTTTCTTCTTTGATAAAGTTGTAAAATTGTAACTTGTCCATATCCAAACAGAGAAATGTAAAGAGTAGAGTGTTAGACTCTCAGAAATCCCGTATATTAAATTCCTTGTGTTCATGGCAAATGAGGTTTAATGTTCAAAAATGTGTAAAGTAATGCACTTGGGGGCTAAAAATATGAATGCAAGTTACTTGCTAGGGGGAGAATCTCTGGCTGAATCCAAGATGGAGAAAGATCTCTGGGTCCTAGTAGAAGATAGACTGAGCAATAGTATTCAATGCCAAGCTGTAGCAAGCAAATCAAGCAGGCTAGTATCATGCATTAAAAAGGGAATTTAGTCCAGAGATAAAACGATAATCCTGCCACTTTATAAAAATCTGGTTAGGCCACATCTGATGTATTTTATCCAGTTCTGGTCACCAATCCTTAGGGAAAGATGTGCTGGAATTGGGGAGAGTCCAGAGAAGAGCAACAAAATTAATAAAGGCACTGCAGGACCTCAGTTACGAAGAAAGACTACAAGCACTAAACTTATTTTCTCTGAAGAACAGACGCTTGAGAAGAGATATGATAGCGGTTTTCAAATACCTAAATGTTGAACCCAGTGCAAGCAGTTAACTATTCAGTTTCAGGGAGTATAAGAAGACATGGGGTCACTCAATGAAATTGGAGGAGAAGCAGTTTAACCTTAAGATGAGTAGGTGTTTTTTGACTGCTAGGGCAGCAAGGATGTGGAACTTCCTTCCACAATCGGTGGTGTCAGTGGGAAGTACTGATAGTTTTAAAAGACTCTTGGACTTGCATCTTAGTGAACACAATATACATTGATATGGGAAATGATTCATACACCCACACAGGTTGAACTGGATGGACTAGTGTCTTAATTCAACCTTACCAACTATATAACTTCAAAGTCATATTTCTATAAATTGATCATGATGCTATTTTTTTTTATGTCACACGATATTAGTGTGACCAAACCAATTTAACAAACAGTATTTCTATACATTGAAATTAGGTATAATGCACACAAACGCAATATAATACCAGTTTTTTAAAATAAATGTTAGATACCAAACATGTCAAGACTTTTTGTGTGCTTCCATAAAATAGCTTACACTTACAATACCGAAAATTGTCCATAGGGGACTCCTTATCAGCCTATACAGGTCATTAGTTTGGAGTTATTAGTAAATGATGGCCCTTAAAGATTGAGCTCACTCTGGCCTGTGTGCTGTGATACCTAATATCTGTGGCACAATTGTTATTTTCATATGTGTGTGCACCAGATGTGTGTATATGCATTTGTATGTGTATGTATGTGGGAGTGGGGGTTTTAAGAATTTTTTGTATTTTTCTATTAATTTATTTTATTATACCTATTTTTTAAAACCCTTTTTCACTTAACTTGTTTTGCTCTCACAAGTATTATAGTAATATATGATAGCATAGTTCAGGTGACAGGTTCTCATTAAGGAAACATCAAGCATGTGTTGGACCCTAATGTTACCTTTGCACTCTTCTGAAGGTGACTGAGCACATGTGAGTTTCTTTCCCAGTTAGGGAGGCTGGAGATTGACAGCTCTGAACCAAAAACTGATTAGAGCTGATCACTTCTGTGTTCATTCATCATGGGAGAACTTAAGTCCTCCCACTCTCCATTTCAACACCCACTTTGATGGCTCAGGCACCCAAGATGAACAAATATATGCAGGACACCTGGTAAAGGAAATCAGGGGGGTTGTACCTACAGTGGGCTGTAGAAGTGATCGGGGGGCCTTACAGACACCTAAATCACTTCTAAAGAAAGCCAACGTCAACAGCCTGAAAAAGAAAACAAACTCCTGTTTACACGATGATGTTGCAGCTGTTGTAATCATTGTGTCAGTGGCGGCGAAAGGATTAAACTCAGAATTCAGCCCAAGAATAACAGGATGTAAATAATAGCCCATTAAAATAAAATAAAACAGCTTTTTTCCTGAACTATAAACCTTTAATCCTTTATAAACCTTTAGTAAACCTTTAATCCAGAGATTTCCCCCACAGTACTTTTTTCTGCCATGAGATGTCCTCAGTTTGATGTACAGCATCATTCAACCTACCTCCTCTAAGCCCAGGCTGTCTGTGACACAGTGATGAGCTTATCTTTCAGTCACTTTGCTTCTCCCACTATCAGAATGCTCACTGTCATGGCGCCTTGTACTGCTTCTTCCTCTTACGCTCAGTCCCTGCTGTACAGAGGAATGCAGGGGCCTGATATCAGCTCAAATTGAGGTACTTACACAGCTTCTATTTAAAGAATACATTTCATGACGTATTAATAATTACAGAGCTGTATTAATTTGTGTATATCTTCCTAAAGTTCTACTTTAAGTGATAATCAGTTTTCAGTTTAGGAGATTATTGTGATTTACCATATCATTGACCAGATTGAAATAAAAAAAATATGTTTCAGAAGCCTTCATAAGGTGTAATTTGGTTGAAAAATAAGAAAAGATTTTTCTTTATAAATGTGGTTTATGCCTACTAAGATCCACAAGTGCAGTTCTTTTAAAAGTATTAAACTTCTGTAAGATGTGTTTTTGTGTTCAATATATTTTTTTGGGGAGCAGGGGTTGTCACACTGTTTAGCATTAAAAGTCTTTGAAATAATTTATTTTGCTAAGTTTCCTTAAAATATGGTGATTGCTTGAAGCAAAACGAAACTGTATCTGAGCAAACTGAAGATGATATTTAATTCATAGCAACCTCACCCATCTATCATGTATCTATGCTTTATTTTATGAAGAAATCACTTTGAAATTTTGACCTAGGCCAGAAACCAGGAAGCAACTGAAGAAATGTGAAAACAAGTAATTTTAAAGCCATAGTAAACACCACGTGGCCACATTAACCTACAGGTAAGCTTACAATAAATCTTGCCTGTAGGTACAAGCAGGGGCGGACTGACCATTTGGAAACTTGGGCACTGCCCGAGGGCCCGGGGTCAGTAGGGGGCCCCATGAGATGCCCCTGGTACCTTTTTCATAGGCTTTTATGAGTTTGGGCAAGGACACAGGGGCCCCATGATCCCCTAATGCCCAGGGGCCCCATGAGTTGTCAATCCACCCCTGGGTACAAGTAATAATTCCTAAAAGGTGCACCATATTTGCGTTGTTGTTTATCAAATGCAAATTTTCAAGAAAAAACTAAACTTTTATGAATTTTAGTGCACCTAAACACAATATGTTATAATTACCTATTTTTGATGTTAAGCTGAGTAAATAGATAATTAACATGTGTTGCTTTAAAACTGTGCACACCCATGGAATGGCAATAAACTACGGCACCTAAAAAACTCCATAGGCAATGTTTTAAAAGAAAGCCTTTACAGATTCTTGGTTTAGAGTTAAACAGAAGGTCTGAGACTAGAATGATTGCTCTCAAGCTGAAATTTGTGGCAATGCCTCACATGTGTGGTGCAAGCACAGTTTACTTTATTTGTGTACGAGCTTGGGGGGGCATGACCTTTGGGGGAATGATGGTGACATTTTTTATTTTACTTTATTATTTTATTTAAATTAATTTTTTTGCACTGTTTAGTTATTTTTTTTCTATCAACTTTATTGCTATCACAAAGGGTCTTGTGATAGAATGAGCAGTAACAGGTACTCTTTACTGATAGACCTGGGGTCCATTAGACCAGATCTCCCCTCTGCCCTCAAAAGCATCTGATCAAACCAAGATTGGTTTGATCAAATGCCTTATAAGTCAGTAATGGCTTCTAAACAGTAAACCAAAATCAGGAGTGACAAATTCCTTGTCGCTTCCCTCTTCATTCTTCAGAAGAGGAGAGGTTATGGATGAACTTCTTTTCCTTTTTGTTAGCCCGACAGAGAGCAGTGGTACCAGGCTCATCAAATGCAGTGGAGAACCCAGGAACGGTGGCAGGATAAGGTGCCTACTTTTCTTGCCCTGTAAAAGTGATTGGGTGGCTGTAGAGCCGCTCAGGTCACTTTTACAGGAAAGCTCATTGCTGGCTGCAAGTTTTGATACCAGGATCATGGCTGCAGTTGCAGTCATAATCCTGATATCACCACTTGTTCATGAGTACGTACCGGTGCCTACCAGAAAGGATACTGGAGTACCCGAAGGAAACTTACCCAAGCTCAGGGGGAACATGCAAACTCCATGCAAATAATGTCCTGGCTGGGATTCAAACCAATGACCCTAGTGCTTCAGGATAGATGTGCTAACCACTATGCCAATGTCCTTAAATTTCTTTCTTTCCAAGGGTCTACTCCAAATATGCCATTTTAGAACTAGTAAAGTTACACTTTAAGAGTCAATGTCTGATATCAGTACACACTGTGGATCTACAAACGTATGATAATATATAATGGTTCAAATGCTGTAAAACTGTCTGAATGTGTATACAGTATATGTTAGAAGTCTTTTTTTTTATAACTTAATCTCTCCTTCAGAAGTTAGAGAAATATGTGTAAGCAATTAGTTCATGATAATTTTATAATACCACAAATCCATCAGAGGTGCCGAGTTACAAGGTTTTGACTTAAAACTGACTTTTTGGAGTTTAGAGAAGTTCATTGGAATATGGAAATTTCCTAATCTGTAGAGTATCAACTTGACTGAAATATTTCATTGTGGAAGTGTCAGTACTATTGCCAGTTGCCGGTCAGAATATTTAGCAGTGTGATGCGTACTTAAAGCTGAGGTGGATTTTCTTTGCATCAAACGAGTCTTTAATTCTAAATCTTCTTTAATATCAGATTTTGTGCTTTTGTGCTTAGCACCGCTAGGACTTTTACTTCTGTGTATATAATACTGTAAATTCCATCTGACACAGCACGTGCCTTTTGAGGTATCCGCAACAGGAACATGTCATTAAACTTTCTTAAAGTGACTCTGACACCAAAAAGTCTTTGGCTGTCAACAGTTGTTTATGGGTCGTATCATTTCTATAAAGTCTGGTACTCCCTCAGTCTAAGGTATACCATATATTTCTGAGATATTAAAGCTGGCCATACAGGGCTATTTTTCTTTCTTCCAGCCATCGAAAAATTAGATGGATGAAAGAATCCCCCTGCCAGGATATTGTATTCTGATAGTGGCACCCACCACTGTCAGAATACACAGATTAGAGGCTGCAGCTGATTGGTTGCAGCCGCTAATTGAGAAACATTTTTCAACATGTCCCTTGAAGAGAAGTCGATCAAACATATTTACTTTAGCATAGCTATCACTGTACTTCCGGTGGTCCGATCCCGGATCTTCAGGACTCAGCAACCTGAAGCTGTAGAGTTGTGTGCAGCCTCTCTGTCCTCTCCTCTTGCTCAGTTATGAAGCTCTTAGTATTTTGTGAACCCGTTCACAAAATACAAAGCCTCCTGTTAATGGACAGTGGAAGGGAGGGATGGGCAGTGCAGCTGCTGTGTGAGAAAGCAGCATCTCCTGTCAGAGCACTGGAAGTATAGTTAATTCGGTACTCTAGGAGCTCATTAAAACTGTCAATTATAATTAAATAGATAATTCAATGAAGTGGCATGTACCTGGTTGGGCTTTGCCTATTGTATAGTGAACCAGCACATTTTAGAAAATGGCTGAACTCCAGGCAGATATAAAAACACAAATTAATACAGCTATGTAATCTTAAATACATTTGTAAATGTATTTTTTAATTCAAATAGAGTAGCTACCTTAATTTGACCCATGATAAGCCTCATGCAATGCACTACACAGCAAAGCTCAGGCTAGAAAAAGGTAGATGAAATATTTTTACTGAGTGCCGGTAGCATAGCTATCGTTATACTTCCAGCGGTCCTACCCTGGATCTTCAGGTCTCAGGATTCTGCAGTTGGAGAGTTGTCAGTCTGTCCCCTCCTCTTGCTCAGTCATAGAGCTCTTTGTATTATGTGAACCCATTCACAAAATACAAAGTCTCCTGCGAATGGACAGTGGAAGGCAGGGGTGGGCAGAGCGGCTGCTATATGAAAAAGCAGCATCTCTCCTATTAGAGTACTGGGGGTATAGTGAAAGATGTACTCCAGGTACTCAGTAAAACTGGCAATTATAATTAAAGAGATAATTCCATGAGGTGGCATGCACCTGGCTGAACTTAACCTATTGTATAGTAAGCCAGCACATTTTAGAAAATGGCTGGACTCCTGGAGTTCATCTTTAAAGCTGAACTCCAGGCAGATATAAAAGACACAAATTAATGCAGCTCTGTAATCTTAATACTTTTGTAAAAAATTTAAGGCAAAGTAGAGTAGCTTCCTTAATTTGACCCATTATAAGCCTTTTTGCAATCAACTACACAGTTCAGACTGGGAAAGGTAGAAACAGCTAGTGTCCATGCATAGGCTGGGGAAGGGCAAGACCTCTAAGTGTTAATTAAAGGCAGCAGAGAAAATGCAGACAGGACTGTGCAGCACAGCTGTATAAATATCAGGACTGGATGAATGGAAACACAAACCTTTTGGCAGGTAAGCAGTTTCCTTAGATCTTTTTCATATAAGCATTAAGTTGTTTGCCTAGAGTTCAGCCTTAAACCCATTTCATATTATAAAATCACTCTCAAACAAGAAGAGTCTAATGACTTCATTCTTGATTTAACGATGAATGTATTGATTATGCTGGAAATAATGGAGCATTAACTTCAATGTAATCTCCATCTTTATTAACTGCCAAGAACTGGTACTGTAATCTAAGCATTTCTTTACCTATACCCCGGCCTCACAATTACATACCTCTATGTAGTGCATTACAACATTTCATTTGTCAGCCATTCACGCTCTTAGCTGTTATAGTGAAAATGGGAATTTTACCAAAGACACTATAGATTTTAAATGCGCTCAATATATTTACATCAGGCATATTTTAGAACATTGGTGTCCATTATTTCAAAATTTGTATGGTGGGATAGGTGGCCTAAGAGCTCTCATGCAGTTTTGACTAAAACAAAAAAAAGAGGGTGGCTTGGCAGTGCCAGATTTTACGATCAAGCAGTAATAATCTCACACATGGTGGACTGGGTTCGGGGGAATGCTGGATAAAATTGAAAGGAATACAGAGTAAGGCTCAATTAGACTAACTACTTTGGATACCATAACACTTTGCAGTTTGCTAAATATATAGATCTACTCTCGTATAATGTACTTGTATGGTACACAATACACAAACTGCTTCTCTGGCTATACAGTCCACATTTACTACCCCTCACTGACAATAATTATTTTGTACCATCGAAAAAGGACTTTCTTTTTTACACTGGACAAATGGGGATACTTTGCAATTGAAAGATGCATTGAAAGGAACAACAATATGAGCAGGAGTTACAGCAGAAATCGGGATGTTCATTGTTAGATGAATGGAGATATTGTAAAATATGTCACTTTATAGCCTCACTACCTTGTGTCAGTACCAGGACACGAGCTAGACTTTCAAGACTATGAAAAACTCCCCTGCAGGGGTGGTCTGACAACTCATGAGGCCCCCGGGCAATAGGAAATCATGGGGCCCCTTTGTCCTCGCCCATACTCAAATCACACCCAAAAAAGCCTCTGAAAGGTACAAGGGACATCTCATGGGGCCCTCTACTGACTCCGGGCCTTCGGGCAGTGTCCGAGTGCCTAAATGGTCAGTCCGCCCCTGCTCCCCTGAGACAAATTTTTGCCTGGAAACAACAGTGATTGGCCAGTTCCTTGCTACCCTTGTTAAAATGATCTGTTTCACACACCACCAGTGCTCATGATAGCGGAGACTACCTGGAGGGCTCTTGTTTGAGGAGCTTGCATATGCTTCTTGAATTAGTGTACATGACCTGGCTTGCTCTGACTCTGTTCCTTTTGGGCTTTGATCTACTCATGTGTAACCCGGCTAGTCTAGTCTACACTTCTGCCTGACCCTCCGTGTTTATCAGACACTCTGTTACTTCTTTGTGATGTAGGATCGCTGAACGTTATGGAGATGCGTAATAATGCAGTGGATGGCTTACAGTCCTAAAGGCTGCTCACCAGTAACTGTGGGGTCTTGCTGGACCCCCAGAGGAGTTTATTGAAGTTTTGAAAGTATGAGAGTGCCACATCAGCTTGTACAGATCTTTTGAAAGATTTTATATTGTG